AGGTTCACCATCATGGGTCTAGGGTCTCCAGCGTAGCTCAAATGAGTTGGTTGAGGGGCTGCCCCAGAGAGGAGGAGGGGGTCAAGCTATTCTCCAAAGCACCTGGAGGCCAGACAAGGAACAAGGGATGGAAACTGATCCAAGAGAGATTCAACCTGGAAATAAGGGGGAATTTTCTGACAGGGAGGACATTCAGCCAGTGGAATAGAAGTTGCCTTCGGAAGTCGGAAGTCGTGAGAACAATCACTTGAGACTTTCAAGAAGAGACTGGACTGCCATTGGTCAGAAATGGTGTAGGGTCTCCTGCTTGGGCGGGGGGTTGGACTAGATGACCTACAAGGTCCCTTCCAACTCTGATTATCTGTTATCTGGTTTCCTTCCTCTCTTACTTTAAAGTCCAACCTTGCAACCCCGGGGAGCTGCAGGGACCACAATAGAGCCGATTAACGTCCTTTCCCAGATCCCATGTGTTCTGGATGAGCAGGACCTCTGCTCCCATCGTCCCCATCCCTCACCCAGAATTCGAACCCCAGCTCAGCTCCCTTTCTGCATTTTTCCTGGACAAAAGGAACAAAGCGAGCGTGGCTTTGGTCACCTGGAGCAGCTTCCCAACTACTGCTATGGGGCTGGAAGGGAGGGTGGAGGTCATCTAGCCCAACCCCCTTGTCCAGGACAGGGGTCGTTAGACTATTCTTGGACAAATCTGTCAGAAATGGTGTAGGGTCTCCTGCTTGGGCAGGGGGTTGGACTAGGTGACCTACAAGGTCCCTTCCAAATCGGATTATCTGTTAAATGCTTTTCCATTTTTTACCCCCAAAATCCTCCTCCAGGGATCCATCTGGCCTCTTTGGGATCTGACCCGGGGAGGAAAGTGATGGGTTTGGTGCTCCTCAGACCCCCCCACCCTCCATGCACACCTGGGCTAGTGTCTCCCACCCCCCACCTGCCAATCCTCTCCTCTTGAGAGCTGCCAGTTGAGGTGCTCAGGTGTCTGCCCCAGGTTTTTGGGGGTGAAGGAGTAATGGGGCTGCCATCTGTAGACTGAACTGCCATCTGTCAGAAATGGTTTCCTGCTTGGGTGGGGGGCGTTCGGACTAGATAACCTCCAAGGTCCCTTCCAACTCTGCTCATCTACATCAAGGGCTGCATATTTCAGCATCCGTCGCCCGAAGCCCCCCCTGCAGATGGTCCACAAAAATCCTCCATCTTCCCTGACAGCTGTCAGTCTCCGGGGCAAGAGGGGGACACCCCCGTAGAACCCGGGGGACGGACGATGACGGACAGGCCCCCCATCCTGGGACAAAGCACTCCATTGCGGCAAAGAAAAGGACCCCCCCCTCCCTTGGGGGAGAAATCTCTCTGATGGGAGGCTGCGTCCTATGGGCCCAGCGAGATCACCCCACCGCGGTTGCCGTGGCAACCGGCCTCAGCCCACCGCCTTGGAAGCCAGGCATGAATTCAAGGGAGGGGGGGGGGGGGGGGGGGCGTGAGGGGGAGGAAGGGGTAACTCTCGGTCAGGCAGGGAAAGCGGGCAGAAGCCTTACTAGCCCTTTCCTTCTCTGTGTAGTGCAGGTGGGAAGGGAGAAAAGGGGATTTATGGGGGGGTGGGGGGGTCAGGGAGGGGGGAGGAGAGGAAAATGCCCCTCCCTTTCTCCGACTCCTTGACTGAGTTTTATAGCTACATAAGAGGCTATTTGAGGTCAGGTTTCAGCTGGGGAGGGATTTTTGGGGTGTGTGTGTGGTGTGTGTATGTGTGCGTGTGCCAATTTTGCAACAGGTGAAAAACTTTCTGGTTGGCCAACTAAGGGAATTTGCTTTTTAAAAAGTTGTTGAAAAAGTTTTTGAAAGTTTTCAACCAGTTTTGGAAAGTTTTCAAAAAGTTTTTACCAGCTTTAAATTTGATACAAGTTGTTTTAAAAGTTTTCAACCAGTTTTGGAAAGTTCTCAAAAAGTTTTTACCAGCTTTCAAACTGATACAAGTTGTTTGAAAAGTGTTCAACAAGTGTTTGAAAGTTTTCAAAAGTGTTCAACGGGTTTCCAACAGCTTTCAAACTGATGCCAGTTGTTTAGAAGTGTGTAAATGGCTGGAAACGCCTTGCCACCCCCCCAAAGCCAAAGACACGATGGTGCCAAGGCTGGTTACAACGAAGGCCAGGAGGTCGGAAGAAGAGTTGTGGGACTTAAAAGATCTGTCCGTCCTTAGCAAATCTGGACCTTGCCAACTCCTGACCTTGCTGGATCCAAGTCCAGGCGTTGCCAAACTCCCCCCCCCCCCCGAAAGATGACGCTGGTTTGATCAAACACTGTGACAGCTTTAGGACTGGCCAGCAGCCACATGGGCCCGGAGTGCCTTGAGGGGGGGGGGCGCCCACCTCTCCCAAGCCAGGCAGGTCGGTGGGAGGGAAGCTCTCCCCCTTCGGGAGCCCGGAAAGGGCCCTGAAACGATGGGAATGCATTGAGCTGATTCGTGGGCTGCTGGCTGGCCGTTCCAGGTAGACTGCAGCTGCACCTGGAGGCTTCCCTGAGCCACTTTTTCCTGGAAAGTCTCTGGCTGTTCCACCTTTGGGAAAGTTCCCTGCCGCCACCAAGGCCGCCCATCAAGCCCCCAGCGCTGGGACAGCCCCCCACGGGAGGAGGGGGGGGGCGGCAGCGGCTCCTCCCCCCGCCCCCCTGGAATCAGGCCACCGCTCGGCGGGCCTCAAAAGGCGGCGGGGCCGCGGTCGCTGTCTATGCGCGGTGGTGCTGAAGGAGGGTCGTCCGGCGGCCGGCAGGAGGGAGCAGCAGCAGGCGCCGCGCACCATGGGCTTGGCAGTGCTGGCGGCGGCGGCGGTGCTACTGGCGGTGTCCGGAGCCGGCCTGCCTCCCTGCTCCCTGGACAGCCGGGGCAGCGACGGGCGGCTCTGCGCGGAAACCGGCCCGGCGGCTTTGGCGCTGCTGCGCGGCCGGGGCGGCTCGGAGCGGCCGCGGGATGCGAGCTGGGCCGGGGGTCGTCGGCGGGCCAAGCGAGGCTTCACCTACCCGGGGACCCTCTGGTGCGGCGCCGGAGACATGGCGGAGAATTACGAGCAACTGGGTAGGCGAAGGGGTCTCTTGTGGCGGGGAGTTCCCTCGGGAAATCACCGTGGGAAGTTGTGGCCAGAGCGAAGGGCTCTGCTGCGAAATGAGGCGGTGGGAGGGGGGTTGGACTAGATGACCTAGAAGGTCCCTTCCAACTCGGATTCTCTGTAATCAAGGTCACACAAGCCAGGTTTTTCAAGGGGGAGGGGGAGAAAAAGTGCCAGGGGCTGCTCTGGGGGGGGCGACAGGCTGCCTTTACTGTCCTCCACACCCCCCCACAAACACGCAGCGCTGTAAAGTCTAAACTCCGTTCTAAACTCTAAAGTAAAAAAATACAGTTTCTGTAATAGTTGTCAAAATCTGGAATTCCCTACCTGGTTGTTTCAACGACAGATTTTCCCAATTTCAGTCCCAAATGGACTTCCGTGGACCTTACTTCATACTTAAGGGGCTAGTAGTGGGGCCGTACACCAGGGCACTAACCTGCCTGTCGTCCCTGTCCTTGTATTTTTATTCTCTTATTCTCGTTTTTGTTTGACAAATCCTGATAAATAAAATAAAATAAATAAAGTCCAGCCAACAATCTTAATAACAAGGGGAAAAGGGTGTGTGTGTGTGTGTGTGTGTGTGTGTTGTGTGGATAAGGAACTTGAGAGGAAAAAAAAACGGGAGTTTTGGATGTTGAAAATGCTCTATGCGCAAAACCTGGAAGGATTCTCGGACTCCCACAAGGGGCGAAAGGCTGCTGGAGTTGGTGAAGTTGTTCAGAGGTGGCAAAATTGTCGGCTTGGATTTAAGAAAAGGACACCGTGAATTTTGTTTCACCCGGAAACCGTTTCTGGACTTTGTGGTCCAGATGGGAGGGGGAAAAAAAATTAAACGTTGATTTTTGGGTTTTGCTGCTTAGGTAGGTTTGGTTATTACATAAATGTCTAGGACCTGGAGTCCTCGACTTATGCCCACAGTGGAGTCTGAAATTGATGCTGCTAAGGGAGACATTTGCTGAGTAAATTTTGCCCCATTTCATGATCTTTCTTGCCACCGTTGTTAAGTGAATCATTACCGCTTGTTAAGTTAGTAACCTAATTGTTAAGTGAATCTGGCTTCCTTCCTTGACTTGTTTGTCAAAAGGTTGCAAAAGGGGATCACGTGACATGCCCCCCCCCCCCCGGGGTTGCTGCAACCATCGTAAATACGAGTCAGTTGCCAAGCCTTCAAAGGTAAATACACATGACCGTGGGGAATGCTACGATGGTGTGAAAAATGGACGTTTTTGGAGCCATTGTAACTTCGGACATTAAGAGAACTGCCATAAGTGGAGGACTCCACGTATATATTGTGCAGAAGTAAAAGGTTGAGGTTGCACCTTATTATTTTATTCTTCTTGGGCCAAAAAGAGCCGGAAGTCACTTCTTTTCTTTTCCCTTTTATCCTGCATTCTTTCCTCTTCTTCCCCTTCTCCTACTTTCCTATTATTCTCCTCGTTTTTGTGTTTTTGCATTGTACATTTTGATAAATAAATTTTTTTTATCGCCAGCAACGGAGCTGCCTGGGGGAGGGGCATTGTGGCCAGGAGGAGGAAAGGCCTGGGGGGCTGCTCCCCACCCCATCTAAGCACTCCCCCTCACTGCCCCCCCCCTTGCAGGAGCACACCAGGAGACGGACAGGTGTTGCCGGGAACACGACCATTGCCAGCACCTCATCCACCCCTTCACCTACAAGTACGGCCACCGTAACCTTCGCTGGCACACCATCAGCCACTGCGACTGCGACAGGAGGTGAGCGCGGGGGGGGGGGGGGAGAGGGAGGGAGGAGAGACCCCCCCCAAGGAATCAGCAACCCCCCACCCCCGCCCCTCTGCAATGAAAAAAGACCATAAAAACACAGCTGTTGATATTATTTATTCTTTTATGACCTCTTAGTTCCCCCTTCTACTGGTTGCTCGCTTTTAGTGTCACTGTTTTCTCTGTTGTTTTGCAAGTACACTGCGAGTTTCTACACCAGAGTCAAATTCCTTGTGTGTCTAATCACACTTGGCCAAATAAAACATTCTATCATATTGTACAGTATTCCGTTCTATTCCAATTTCTTTATTTTTTATTCTTTTTTCCTTATTCTATTCTATTCTAGTCTAGTCTTAATTCTTATTCCTTATTCCATTCTATTCTAAATTCTAAATTCTTATTCCTTATTCTATTCTATTCTATTCTATTCTATTCTATCTCATTATTATTCTATTCTAAATTTTATTATCTTCTCAATTCTATTTTCTTAATTCTTTTCTTTTATTATCTTTCTTAATTCTACTCTATTTCTCTTAATCCTCTTATTATCTTCTCAATTCTGTTCTTCTCTTTTCTCTCCTCCTTTATTTTCATCTTAATTCTATTCTTTTATCTCTTCTTTCTGATTGTTTATTCTATTCTCTCTTCTTAATTCTCTTCTGGTTTTATATTATTTCTATTTTTCTCTCTTCTCTCTTAATTCTCCTCTCCTCTATTTTCTTCTTAATTCTATTCTTCTATTATCTTTCTTAATTCTACTCTATTTCTCTTAATTGTCTTCTCTTATTATCTTCTCAGTTCTATCCTTCTCTTTTCTTCTCTTCTTTATTTTTTCTTAATTCTATTCTTCCATCTCTTCTTTCTTCTTTTTTTATTCTATTCTCTCTTAATTCTCTTCTCATTTTATATTCTCATTTCTATTCTTCTCTCGTAATTGTCCTCTCCTCTCCTCTATTTTCTTAGCTCTATTCTTTTATTATCTCTCTCCTCTCCTCTTCTTAATCCTCTCCATTCCTCCCTTCCCCTCCTCTTGGTTAAAGGGAAGATGCCTGGATGCATCCCCACCGTTACCATGGCCACCATACTTCAGCTCTTCCTTTCAACCACAGAGGGGCTTTTCCCGGGAGATTCTATACCCTTGGGATCTCCTTGTGGCCTCCCATCCTAATAACCAGATTCAATCCTGTTGGTTTGGGGAGGGGGGGGGAATCAACCATGATCGCTGGGGGCTACGAGGTAGGGATGGAGGGGACCCAAAAGTTGGCTTTGAACCAGGCAAACTCTCTGATCCAGTTCTTGCCCCCCCCACCCTTCAGCTCAACTATGGTTTAGCAAACCTGGTCAGCCTGCAAGCAGGATTCAGGATGCCTTGGGAGCTCATCCTAGGTTGGGCCCCCCTAAGTCTTTTCCCCAAGGTGGTTTTAGGGGTGGGTGGGTTTGGGGCCTGTTCAATCATCCCTCTTTGCTTGCAGTATGGAGTTGAGATCCTGGACAAAACAGGGCTTGCACAATAAGCCGTGAATGGTGGCTGAACATGTCTGTCCCTGGAGGGTTTCTGAGGTCAGCTGTGCTCCTTGGCCTGGAATAGCCAGGTGCAAATATCAAACACCCGCCCCCCCACGCACACACCCCTTGTAAATCAGGCCCCCATCCAGCCCCCAGTAGCATGCCTGGGAGGGCCCTGGCTTGGCTCCCAAGGCCACCAATCAAAGGGCAGGTGAGGTGACTCCGAAGCCCATCCACGCTCAGCTCTGTTGCAATGGCCTGCTTCAAGGGAGGGGCCAACAATGGCAAAGAGTAAAACCAGGGGCATCCATCTTGGGTCATTTTTAAGACCTGCGGACTTCAACTCCCAGAATTCCCCAGCCAGCGTTGCTGGCTGGGGAATTCTGGGAGTTGGAGTCCACAAGCCTTAAAGGGCCACACCCTTGGTGTAAACGCTCAAATTTGCCAGCCTTCTTTGGGCTAATAAAAGAAGGCACCAATCCCCCTCCCTCCTCCCCCCCCCACCCC